GGTTCCCGCCTCCTTCTTCCCGAACTACGAACTTTGTTACAGCATCCCTCATCCAACGTGACATTGTTTGTCTCATGGCAGCCGCCCCCCGGTTGTGGCCCCCATAGCATATGAAAAGCTGCTCCGACTTATGTCACTGGCTAGTGCAGTGGACGTAAATCTGAAGAGCACATACTGGACACAGTAAGTGAAGTTTTTCCTGCTCTGGTGTCGTAAACGGTGGAGGGCAGAAAGCTTCAAGAATGACTGGATTTAAGGTCGAGAATGGAACTTTGAGAAGATAGGGAAGGTGAGGATGCAAAATAGCTTTGACCAGCCCAGGGGCAAAGTTTAAGTAGGATGGCAAGACTGACAGAGCCTGCAAATCCCCAATTCTCTTTAGAGAAGTAATAACCATGAGAAACCCCAACTTTAGAGTCAGAAACTTGACAGGCGCTGACTCTAGTGGTTCGAAAGGGGTCCCAACCAGACCCTCGAGCACTATAGTTAAGTCCCACGAAGGGACTGTCGCTCTCTTGGGCGGACTCAACCACTTAGCTCCATGAATGAAGCTGGCGACATGAGGGTGCTTTCCCACAGAGACCCTGTCAATCAGAGCGTGGCAAGCCGAAATAGCAGCCACATAGATTCTGAGAGTACCAAGACATGTACCTGAGGACAGTTTTTCTTGCAGGAACTCTAGCACTAAAACAACTTGGCAGTGAACTGGGTCTGCATGGTGTGTCATTAACTACATTTCGAAAACACGCCATCGAATGGCACAACTTCTTCTAGTGGAGGGAGCCCTAGCACTCAGAATAGTCTGTACTACATCGGCTGGAAGCCTACATGTACCATCTCTTAGTTGGTCCCCCACAGGGGCCAGACATGAAGGTTCCAGAGCTCAGGCCGGGGATGAAATACTGTCCCCTGCACCTGAGATAGGAGATCCCTCCTGACCGGAATCGCCCATGGTGAGCCATCGAGGAGAGATATTAGATCTGAGAACCACACTCAGGTCGGCCAATGGGGCGCTATCAGTAAGAGGCGAGACCCTTGCTGACAGACCTTGCCCAGGACTCCCGGGAGCAGAGCGATCGGGGGAAATGCGTAAAGACGTAGTCTGGGCCATGTGTGGGCCATTGCGTCCAGACCCAGGGGAGCTGGAGGAGTAAGAGAGAAGTAGAGGGGACATTGTGCTTTCTCCTGCGAAGCAAAGAGGTCCACCTCTGCTTCGTAAAATCTTTCCCAGATTTGACTGACTACTTCGGGGTGGAGTTTACATTTCCCGTGTGTCACAGCTTGTCTAGACTGCAAATCTGCTCCCACATTCATATGCATCTGCTTCGTAAAATCGAATGTAAATCGCCCTGAGGGACAGGAACCTGTCCTGTGCCCAAAGCAGAACCTGCTGCGCTAGCCAGTTCAGGTGGCGCAACTGCAGTCCACCTTGGCAATTTATGTAAGAGACTACCGCAGTGTTGTCCACCCACACTGGCACATGGTAGCCTCTTAAAATAGAGCCTTCATTTCAAGGTAATTGATGTGCCAGTCGAGAAGATGACCTCTCCAGATCCCTTGGGCTGGACGGCCATCTAAGACCGCACCCCAGCCTGTGAGGGAAGCATCTGTTGTTAGCATCTTGCAACGACAACACGCACCTAGAGTGGCACCCAAAGTCAGAAACCGGGGTCTGAACCCCATAGAAAGGGTACGAAGCCCCCGGCACATAACTCTTATTTGCCTCTGGGGGTTGGCCCTTAGATGAAATACCCTAGCTCTGAGCCACAACTGAAACGGTCTCATGTCCAGGAGGCCCAAAGGTATCACCGTGGATGCAGCTGCCATGAGACCTAGAACCCTTTCAAAGTAATGGACGGTAACATTCTGGCCAAGCTTGATATTTTTTAGGGTGTTTAGAATGGATTCGACACATGCAGGAGACAGCTGTGCCCGCATTGTGATCGAATCCCATACAACCCCCAAATACATTGTCCTCTGGGCAGGAGAGAGAATGCTTTCCTTGGCATTGGGTCTCAACCCCAGAGATTCGAGATGAGCTAGGACGACATCCCGATGTCAAAGCGCAAGCTCTTGAGACTGGGCCAAAATCAGCCAGTTGTCTATGTAATTTAAAATGCAGATGCCCTGGAGTTGCAGAGGAGCCAGTGTTGCATCCATGCATTTTGTGTATGTGCGGGGTGACAAGGCTAGGCTGAATGGAAGAACCAGATACTTGTAAGCTTCGCCCCCGAAAGCGAACCTCAGGAACTTCCTGTGTTGTGGCAGGATTTCTATGTTTCTATGTTCTGAGGTAGCGGTTCAACCCACAAAGATCTAAAATTGGATGCAAACCCTTACCTTTTTGGGAACCAGAAAATACCGGCTGTAGTAGCCTGACTATCTGTCTGGCAGGGGAACACTTTCTATAGCCCCTTTTTCCAGCAGAGCTTGCAATTCCTGTGTCAACAAATGCGCTTATTCCAGTTTCACAGAAGTGGAGAACACACCGTTGAAACGCGGAGGACGACGCGCAAACTGTATCCTGTAGCCTTTCTCTACTGTCCTTTCGACCCACGGAGAGATATTTGGCAGTAGTTTCCGTGCTGCCAATTTCTCTGAAAGGGGCACTAGTTTTGACACTTCGCTTTGCCTGGGGAATATTAGATGTTCGGTGTCCTGAAACATGGCAGGAGGCAACCAAACATTTAACATTTTGCTGGAGACGACTGTGTTGACAGAGCCGCCAAATTGGCCAGAAGGCGAGATGGGGGCATCAAGGATTAATATGATGCCCTTGATGCCCATGAGGTTCAGCCACATGTGCCTCTCTGTGGAGACCATAGGTGCCATTGAACGGTCAATGGCGCAGGCCGTCAGCTTAGTCGCACAGAGAGACAGGTCTATGGGCCAGCGAAATTCGGAAAACAATGGCCACGCTCGTGCTCAAGTCCTTGAGCAGGTCAGCCTGGTACACCTACAAACCCGCCATGGTGTGCAGGGCAGCACCAGCCTTACCCGCTGCTTGGAATGCTTTCCCCACCAGTGAGGATGTCAACCTACAGGGCTTGGTGGGAGCATTGGTTTTTTCAGAGAGGATGAGCTCCCAGGGGAGAGATAGTCCATAAACGTCTCTTCCACCTGGGGCATCATCATGTAGCCCCGTGCCTTTGCATCCACAATGGTCGAATAAATTGACGTCGAAGGCACAAAGACATGGGACGAATAGGGCTTACTCCATGAATGAGTTAACTCGTCATGGAGATCGCCAAAGAAGGGGAGAGACTGTCGCTGAGTTCCCTCCCCTTGGCCACCTGACAGAAATCTGTCATCAAGCTTAGAGCGTTTGGGGGTCTCCTGCTTCTGCGGCCAGTCCAACTTTAGTCTGTTGACTGCCCGAGTCACCACCTCGAGTAACTCCTCATACGCTTTGTCCTCACGAGAGGAGCGCTCTGAGGTGGCGCTCTCAATCTCCATCTCCGCAGAGACAAGAGATGAAGTGTCCTCCGCTCTGAAGTGTCCTCCGTTCTGAAGAAGTGCCAGGGCGTGCTTCAGAAACGGGCGTGAGGACTTCCCGATCCGGCGAGAGCACGAGAGAAAGGGGCAGACCCGTCTCTCGCACCTC